AGGAGTGATGAGAAGATTAATAGTAATAGGAGTGCAGACTTTGTAAATAGTTGGACAGTGTTGAGGGAATTATTTGTTTAGCAGAGTGATGTTGTTGAGCAAAAGACTGTCCTTGTGTCTAAGTTATTCTGGTGTGCAGTGCTCTGTAGTGTCGTTTTGAGGGTAGGAATTGAAACAATTTATATCCAGGATGTGAGGAGTCTATGAGGCTATGAGAATTGAAGGTAGCTGATTCTAGCTTTTGTCACCATGTTGGATTAATCAATACTGAGGTTCATTTTCAAACGTCTTGTGGTTAATTTATTAAGTAAAGCACTTGCCTGCCATTAATTTAAATAAATAAACACACTATGTCTTATAAAGAAAACATTGTAAACAAACTAAAGTTAAGATTGACAATAATGTAAGGTTTGAGAAGTAACTTTAAAATTAGCTTCCCGGATGGGAAGCAAGTGCTCCCAATTTCTTCTTCTGCCTCTTACAAGTCTGTCTTAATTCTAATTTTAAATCTGATATCTCTAACAATTATGTTATAATTATAATTGTAATAATGCCATATTACTTATCATGTATTTAAACCAAATATCCTACTTGAGGTTAAAGGGCTGCGAATTTATAGGTGAGGGTTCCTGTGAGTGGGAATTCAATCTGTAATGGACTAATGAAGCAGGCTTTATAACTAATAATAGGGGGGAAAGATTTATTTACAGCAAAAATATAATATGGATAGGCAAAGATTACTATCTAATCTGCTTATCCAACTAGGAAGTGAGTCAAAGGAACGTGTGCTCTATATGCATCTAAGAAGACAGATGGAAGTGACCACAAATAACTTTATTATACACAGCTGGCACAGTGATAGACAAAGAGGAGACAAAGACACTCAACTCTGCACTCACCTTACTGCCACCTTGTGCCCTGGAAATAATCAAGTGCTGAAAAGTCAGTAATATTGGAGTTACAGTGTAATTAGATACCAATCTTCTATAAATATAGAATGTGTAACTCAGGGTTGAACTGTGGAGTCCTTGGAATTTTCTAAGATTGCTTCTTTTCTTGAAGAAGTTTCATTACCCAGATAAGCAGCATTTGTAGATTGGTGGGAGTGTTATTTCCATTTTGGTAATTCCTTGATTAGGCTGTTGTTTATTGCTTGATTGTTTATCTGGAGTTAATCGTACCAATCCCTTCCTATGTTAGTGAGGGGCGTTCTAATCTTTTTGTTTCCTTTTTTAGCTTTTTTATAGGTTTTTTTTTAGTGGTGTGTAAATGTTGTTTATCTCTATTTGCCTGTTGATGAGTGCCAAGCTGCCAGGAATTTGCTAGCTTTTCCTGGATTTAGATTGGTCTAGGATGCTCACAATTTCCTTGTTGAATCTATGGTTAAGTCTGTCCATGTTGTGAAATTAAGAAATTTTCACCATGTCTTTTCATTACTAGATGATGCTTTTTTGGTTTACCTAAGTTGTTTTGGAGGACTTTAATTAATTTGTGTGCTACAGTGATGGATTGTTGATGTAATAGCCTGTTGGTTGTTTCTGAGATGTTTTTGATATATGGCAGTGCTTTTCATAGCTTGGATTGGTTGTACTGTAGTCAAGTGAAAAGTCAGATAACATTTTTATGAAGTACTATGGCATCAGTGGTGGGTTTCCAAATTTTTTCCTACCAGTTCTATGAGAGCACACACGAATTAAATTAAACATTAAAACATTATTGGAACTGTACATTGAAAAGTGGAAAAAAGGAAAAGAAGAAAAGATAAATAAGACTTTAAAATCTGGACAATTGGGAAGGGGTAAATTGAAAATTAGAAAGTCTGAAAAGTACAAATTTATAGCATTTAAAGATCAGAAACTTAGGGGACTTGGAGGAATAATTTTAGCATTTACTAAATTTTATTAGCAATTGATATTTTTGGGAGTTTCTAGATATTGGGATACTGGAATATTAGAGGTACCGTATTTGCCGGCGTATAAGACGACTTTTTTGCCCCGAAAAACATGCCTCCAAGTGGGGGGGTCGTCTTATACGCCGGTATATCCACTGCCGGCTTTCGGATGCTTGTTGGACGCAGCGAAGGCGCCTCTGGCTTCCTGGATCCCCTGCGTCGCTTCCGCTTCATCCCGCTCGCCTCGCTCCGCCCGAGGCTGCAGCCTTCCTGCTCTTCCCACGGCCCCTGGCACTCTGCCCTGCCGCTGCAGCCCCGGGGATTTCTGGAGGGCGTTTCCGGTGGTGGTGGGGGGTCGTCTTATACGCCGGGTCGTCTTATACGCCGGCAAATACGGTATATTAATTGTTACAAAATGACCCAGCAGGAGATAAACAAGTTCTATAAAGAAATGTTAGAAATTACAACAAAGAACTATAAGAAGTTGATGGCAATATTTAAAGATAAAGTGTGAAAGTAGAAGGGTCTGTACAAATGATGGGAAAAGAAGAATATAACACACAAAAAACAGCTGAGAAATTAGAAGGAGTGGCAGAGAAGGCAAAGCAAAATAAACTACAAGAAGGTAAAAATAAATTAAAAGCAGATTAAAAACACTGAAAAGATAGTAATAATAAATACTAAAGATCAGATAGACAATCCCTTGAGTGCCTACAGCAGAATAGAGGGGGGAAAGGATGATTTTTCAAAAATAATGGAAGGGTTATGGATGGATATTCAAAAGATGCAGCAGAAAGAAATAAAGAGCAAAGCAGAAGGAACAATTAACCTGTGCAAAAATGCTTGCAAGACATATAGGATTCCAAAAGAGAAACATAAAAGAAACACCAAAAAATCAATAAATGATGAAATTCTAAAAAGACTGAGAGATGATGGATAGAGACAATATTTTTTTTAAACAGAGCTGGAAGGGACCTTGGAGGTCTTCTAATCCAACTCCCTGCTTAGGCAGGAAACCCTGTTCTACTTCAGACAAATGGTTATCGAATATCTTTTTAAAAACTTCCAGTGTTGGACCATTCACAACTTCTGGAGGCAAGTTGTTCCATTGGTTAATTGTTCTAACTGTCAGGAAATTTCTCCTTAGTTCTAAGTTGCTTCTCTCCTTGATTAGTTTCCACCCATTGCTTCTTATTCATGCCCTCAGGTGCTTTCGAGAATAGCTTGACTCCCTTTTCCCTGAGATACTGGAAGACTGCTATCATGTCTCCCCTAGTCCTTCTTTTCATTAGACTAGCCATGCCCAGTTCCTGCAACCGTTCTTCATATGTTTTAGCCTCCAGTCCCCTAATCATCTTTGTTGGTCTTCTCTGCACTCTTTCTAGAGTCTCGATATCTTTTTTACATCGTGGTGACCAAAACTGAATGCAGTATTCCAAGTGTAGCCTTACCAAAGCATTATAAAGTGGTATTAACACTTCACGTGATCTTGATTCTACCAACCAATAGAAATAAGTGGAAAGTTTAAATTGAGGAAATAGTAGCACATATATAGATATAACAGAATGTATTATAACCATAAATATATTAAGACTAGGAGGTGGTAGATTAGGACTAGGTATATTTAAATGTATTATTATCAGTGGCGGGATGCTGCCGGTTTGGACCGGTTCATGCAAACTGGTAGCTCCCAGGATTAGCTGGCCCCACCCACCCTATCCTGCCCTTTATTTCCTGCTTTGTAGCTCACCTCAATCATGCGGCACAGCTGATTCCCCCCACCCACTGTTCTACTTACCATTGCTGACTTGGAAGGTAAGCAGCTGAGCTTCTAAATGCCCCATTTTCAGTACTGCGTGCAAGCGCCTTAGGCACGTGCTTGTGCAAAGTGCACACTCATCGAACTGGTTGTTAAAGCGGCAGTATCCCACCACTGATTATTATGATTAACAGGATGCAAAAAAAATAGGAAAATATAGTTTTCAAGGATTATAAATTCAGGGGATTTAGAGATATAATTTTGGGATTGATTAAATCTCATTGATAACTAGTTTTATTGGTGTTTATAGAAAATTGAGTATTGAAAATGTGGTGGAATACTGAGTGATACTTAAAATATCAAAATATTAGTGATTTAATAGGGGTTAATAAGTATACTGTATGAAGACATGTTTATATATACTTTTGGAGGAAGTGATAAAAATAATAAAGAGAGACTAGTATTGTTTAAAGATAATGAGGTAAATATAGAAGAACCCCAACAAATGGGAAAAATAAAGAAATAAGTATAAATCCAGAAAATAGTAGAATATATACTGATATATAAAAGAATATATTATAATTATAATGAGCACATTAAGGTCAGAAGTTGGAAGATAAAAATTTTGTATGTAATTGTATTATTACTGTGAGCACTGTGTTAAAAATATGTTAACCCAGTCATTGCACTGTCCACAAAATATGTTGGTTGTTAAAGGAAAAACTGCAAATAAAACATATATAAAAAACCCCAATTAATTAAATAATTATTTTAAATGATAAAAACAAACAAGCAAACTCACAACACTTAACTTTCACTATGTAAACTTAATTATAACACTTATAGTTCAAAGGAAAAGATTCAATCATCGCTTGATTTAATCAGCTCTTTTTCTGGGTTTAATAAGAATACCAAAAATAAACAAGGATACCAATTAAGGAACTGATTTAGAATACTGTAAATATTGTTGCTAGAATGTTTCCTATTTTGTAGTCTACCTTCCCTGGGCTTTGATTCTTGGAAATACTTCCTGCTTTTCAAGTAGCACCAGCATTTTTCTTTCTTATCGCCACTGAGATTTTCCTTCTCACAATATCTACACACACACACACACACACACACACACACACCATTTCATAAATGGCAAAATGATGCCCATATAGAGTCCTCTGGAGTGTCTTATTTAATGGACACAATGTCCTCTCTCCCCACCTCCAGGCAGCAGTAGCAGCAAAGGATATTGTTAAAAGAAAACATGGGAAGGTACAGAAGAAGCCTAAGTCTAAATCCTGAATTTCATTGTCTCCTTTCAAAATTGAGAGTTACTTGCTTGTTTATTTTTTTGAGGTCCCGATAGTTGCAATTATGACAACAGGGGGCAGTATGCGATCACTGACTGCATGCTTTGGAAGTCTCCGAGGTCTTCAGAAGCTCAATCTCCTAGACTGTGCTACATACATGAGTGGATTGTCGGGCACAACCTGGTAAGGCATATTTGATGCTAGAAAAATAAACTTTGCTCCGTTCCGTCTCTGTGCTCTTTAATTACCTCGCTAGGACATGAAATTATTGACCTACTTGAGGAATAATTCTGTGTACTTGCTGCTTTTTTAAAAAGAACCTGCTTTCATTGTAACTTTATTTGAATGAAGAAAAGAGATCCACTTGAGGTCTGGGGATATAAATGTGCCAAGGAGATTTGGGGCTGAAATATATATTAAGAAAAATCATTTTTGATCTAATTACCTGTCTACAATTAATTGTAAGTGTTCAATAGAAGTTCCGTATTGATAAACAAAACAGATGGTCCTTTTTAAATGACCTTTCTGATGAAGTTATTAAGTGTATCTAGCTTCCCCCCACTGAATTTCCTTGCCAAAAGCACCCTGGGAAAGTTGCAAATAGCAATCAAGTGAACCTGGAATGTTGCAACCATCATAAATAGATGCCAGTTGCCAAGCAATCAAACTCCGATTATGTGACCCGCAGGATGCTGCAATGGTCCTGTGTGCTCTCAACAACTTTTTTCAGCGCTGTCATAACTTTGAATAATCATTAAACAAATGGTCATAAGTCAAGGACTATCTGTATATTGGACTTAAATTCCCATAATTCCTGACTACACTAGCTCTGCTGGCTGACTCTAACATGGATTTCTTTGTTTGGAATAATAATTATTGTATAATAGGGGAGCTGTTGCTTTAATGGGGTATCTTAAAGGAATCTTGCAGGATATTTGCTATTTAATCCAGCAAGATATTGTTTATATTCTTGAATTGTTTTTCTTAGGACCATGGCAAAGTTGTACAAAGATGCACAATGGTCAAGAAAGAATCTAGATGAACATATCAATGAGGCTAAACGACATGTAACTAAGAGCAAACTGAATGGTTTTTCCATGGAGCGTTTGAAATATTACAACAGGCAATTGCGACATCGGAAAGAAGAAGGACAAAAAACATCGTACATAGATTTGTGGGGTCTCCTTATTGAATATATGTTGAATGATGGGGTAGAGTACTTTTTTAATAGTATGATTTGAAACTACTGGTTCTTAGCCATATTCTGTATGACTTCGAATCCTAAGGAGCCTTGCCCATTGTTTTTCTCTTGCAAGCAGATTAATGTTCGGCTGGATGGTATAAATAACATTTGCTGTTCCTAGAATAATAGGCTATAAGGATTGCAGGGTACCTTGGAGATCATCTAATCCAAACCTTGTCCAGTGCAGAAGGTGAATATCCAGTTTCTTTCTAAACACTTCAAAGAACAGAAGATCTACCAGGCAGTCTGGTCCATTGCTAAATCTTACCGTTAGGAAAGATTGTCTAATGTCCAAGTGAAATCTACTTCATTATCATTATAACCATTTATTTCCTGTCCTGTCTTCTGGAAAAAATTTGCTCTGTTTTCTACATGTCAGTCCTTCAGGTGCTTGAAAAGAACTATCACATATTTCCACAATCTTCTCTTTTTCAAACTATATCCAGTGCCTTCAGCCATTCCTCATAATGTTTTTCCTTTCAAGCTCCTTATTGTCTCGTTTCTTTCACTCCTTCTTCATATGTGGTGCCTAGAACTGAATGTAACATTCTAGGTCAGTGGTGGCTAACTTTTTTGGGCTCCTGTGCCAAAAATTGTGCACATGTTTGCATGCTCGCTCTCGTGTGCCAGCACCCAGAAGGCAATGCGCCCCCCCATGTCCCCTACGCATGCATACGCAATCCCCACCAACCGACCCCCACCCCCTTACCTGCACTGTGCCTCACAGCTGATTTTTGGCTGGTTTGAGGCCTTGTTTGGCCTCCCAAAGGCTTGAAGAAGGTTTCTGCAGGCTTCTCCAAGCTTTGTAGGCCTAAATCTAGCCTCGTTTAATCACTTTCTGTTTTTCCAAAAATACCGGAAATGATGAAACAGGGCTAGATTTTGGCCTATAAAGCTTATAGAAGCCCGAAGAAACCTTCCTCAAGCCTTTGGGAGGCCAAAAAAGGCCTCAAACCACCCCAAAAACAGCTGTGAGGCACCACATGCGCAGTGAGGTAAGTTTGCCTGCAGCTCACGTGCCGGCACAAATGGCTCTGCATGCCACCTGTGGCACGTGTGCCATAGGTTCGCCATCACGGTTCTAGGTGCAATCTAACCAAAGCAGAATATAGAAGAAGGATGAGGTCTCTTGATATTGACACTATACTTCTGTTGATGAAGCCCAGGATTGCATTTGCTTCATTCTGCTACCTTAAATTTAATTGTATAATTGCAATCCATCAAGATATACAGGTCCTTTTGGATGTATATGTAGTCTTTGTTTAGTAACTACAAATAGTTCCAGAGAAATGGTCAGTAAGTGTTGCAACTACCTTGAATAGTGACTGTTCACAAATACAGTAGAAGTAAACAGTAATAACTCATTTTCTGACCAGTGGACACAATCACATCATCAAAAGCCTTCAGTGCAAAACTGATTAAGATCAGATCAGTTTCACGCAGCAGCTGTTGGGGGATTTAATCAGTTAATTAAGGTCACTTAATTAATTCATTACCAGTTATTGAATATTTCAGCTTTAACAACAACACAAGAGCACACAACAGATATAAACTAAATGTAAACCACTCCAAACCCGATTGCAGGAAGTATGATTTCAGCAACAGAGTGGTCAATGTCTGGAACTCACTACCTGATTCTGTTGTCACCTGCTCAAACCCCCACTCCTTTACCCTCAAACTAACCTCTATTGACCTCACCCCATTCCTAAGAGGTCTGTAAGGGGCGTGTATAAGCACACAATCGTGCCTACCATCCCTGTCCTATTGTCCCCAATTATTGGTTCCTATTTCTTGTATTTAAACTTATGTTTATTCTTGTTTCTGTTATATTGTAAGCTTTTGACCAATAAAATAACTAAAAAGATAAAATAAACTTGCAGTTAGCACTTTTTAATAAGCTTTGCATCACAGAGTAAAGTACTCAGGAAGAGATTGCTTACTTAAGCAATTTCTCTGCCCTGTGAGGGGAGCAAAAGAAGGGGCAGGCATAGGACTCTTTATGAGAGAGTTTTAACTGAATGAGACAGGTAGCCAGGGGGGCACCTGTACTGCTGTTCAATGCTGCCTCTTTGATTTTCCTACTCAGATATAGGACTTTGCATTTGCTGAGAGGCTAACTTTTGTTCACGGTTTTGCATTCTTAGTACCTTCTTGAAATTTAACACCATTATTACGATCTTTTCTTATTTTTATTTCTGTTATCTGTAAATTTGATAATCCTATTATCTAATCCCTCATATAAGTAATTCATAAAAATGTTGAACAGCACAGAAATTAGAAAGCCAAAGGATAAGAAATCAAGGACAAAATAGAAAGAAAAGAAATACAAAGTGCAAGAAAAAAAATAAACATTTAAAGAAGTGAATCCCAATTTCCATGCAGCAAGACAAATTTAATATTCCCCCACTCTCTATAAGATTTCATATACTCCACCTCTTCCCATAACGCTCCCTGCTTTGTAATTTCAAAATTGGTTATCATTTTAGTGCAAATGGCAAAAAGTCCATAAACTTAAAGTGTCTCCAAATTTTTTTTATAAATATTTCTTATTTTAACCCTGATCAAACAACTGATATTTATATTAATTTACTTCTAACAATCATGGTCCTTAAATCATTGTGTAGCTATTGTAGGACTGAATCTACATCTGAAAAATTTCATCCAGGCTTTAGAAATTCTTTTTTGTAATTCCAGTAATAGGCCTTTGCCCCATATCATCTCTCATTTGTATTTCCATTGTCACCTCTGTTTTATAATGCACAATTTCTGTATTTTCCATTGTTTCTGCATCAGTTTGAGTTTGTTTCGCCTCTTCATTCTGTTGGTTGGTTGGTTGGTAGGTAGGTAGGTAGGTAGGTAGGTAGGTTGGTTGGTTTTGTTTGTTTATTTATTTATTTGTTTGTTTGTTTCTCTTTCTTTTTTTCCCCTTTACAGTCTTCTTTAAAGCTGTGTTTGCAAATGCAGAGTTTATTGTTGCACTTTAGTTATAAGTTCCTTCCCCAATTCTTCAAATATCCTTTGAAATATCTTATGTGTCATACTGTTATCTGACATTTTATAAATTTCACTGTTCTTCTTTTAATTCATTAATCCCTTTCCCCCCTCAGGTTGCTTTATTTTAACATTTTAAACCAATTGTCTCTTTCTTGATAGATTAAACAAGTTATATTCCCAGGAAGATAATAATTTGTTTATTTCAAAACTTAGCAAAAATCCTAATATTCTAAAATAATCTGGTCTCTTAATGCATTTATATCTTTTTTGAATTAAATTCTTATTTAGCATTTTGCCATTTATTTTATATTCTTTAAGCAAGTAATTATTATTATTTCTCTGTATTGCAGAGTTACTCAACAGGTAGTTTTCTAAACTTGTTGCTTGAATGACTTCCTGTAACTTTAAAATGATTAGAAAGCCAAAAATAGATAAAGGAATCAGATGAATCTAGTAGGGTTGAATCTAGTAGGGACATTCTGACCCATGGGTTGACTGCTGTCCTGATGTCTCCTTGCAACGGGCTGAAGCACAAGCCCATATTGTCATTTCCCCTCCTTCAGCAACATCTGGTTCACCTTTCTCTCACCTGGAAGTCCCATTCTACGCTTTGAAGGTTAAGATTTCATGGTATTCCAGTGGCATTTCTCTTGGAAACCTAACTGATGTGTGGATTTCAATATTTGTAATATACACAATTTCAGAACAGGTTATATATTTTTATTACAAAAGAATAACTTATTTTCTATCACTAACTGGTTTTATGTTCTCTTTTAAAATACAGAAAGACAGCCATAAACTTTCTGATCAGCAACAAGCAGTGAATGAGGGGCAGAATCCTTTCCCTATTTACACTGCCATCAGCGTAAAGGAGAAGTACAGCACTACGGATTTCAAGGGTAATACCAAATTCAAAGTGGCAATACCAAGAGATCTTTGATTAGCTAGATATAGGTCTCTTGATGCTTTTATGAAACAGGCAGAGAAAATAAATTGCACATTAGTAATCTCAGATTGAAAGCCACCTCTTGGCCGTTGGATGCAAATGTGACATAGTATCTTAAGTCCAAAGACATTGTGCATTTTAATGATTCATTTTAATATTTTATTGCCTGTTTATAGTTTTATTGTTATACTGTGGATCTTTTAATTTGTTTACCATGACTCTGATAAATCCAATAAATAATAAATGATGAGTATGATAAATAGCAATAGCACTAGCACTTAGACTTATATACCACTTCACAGTATTTTACGACTATCTCTAAGCAGTTTACAGAGTCAGCATATTGCCCCGAACAATCTGGGTCCTCATTTTACCCACCTCGGAAGGGCCTGGTGAGATTCGAACTGCCAAATTGCAGGCAGCCAGGGGTTAGCAGACGTAGCCTGCAGTACTGCATTCTAACCACTGCACCACTGTGATTCTTTATATATATGAATAAATATTCATATACCAATATAGACATTATAGTTTTATAATAATACACAAGGTTAGTCTAATACTTTGAAATCTTCAGCTGGAGTCTACTGTGCCTGTTTAATCCATTCAGTTCCAAATTCCAGAAGAAACTCCAGGCTAAGAGACAGAAGCTGGCGCACCATTGCTCAGTAAATTGTCAGTGATTAGACTGCTTTTGCATTTGGGGCATCCCAGTTTTAGAACCAAATAACATATGTCATCATGTTATTAACCCTTACATTTTTAATTGAATAAAGAGCAGCTGCAAAAATAATAAATAGCAAGTTATTTATAGCCGGGCTACGGGCCTTCCATGCTTCCAAATAGATATTTAAGGCCACACAATTACTTGTGTTTTAACATTTAAATCTGTCCTGATGACTGTATATATGCACCCATACTGTTGGTAAACAATAAAACAGGTTTGTCACTGATGTCAGGTCTTTTTTCAAACTCCATGTGTGACCTATGGCCCTAGGTTTTCTTACTTTTTTAGATTGAATTTTTGAACCAATACAAATAACAGCAATTAAGAACAAACCTCATACGTGCCACATCATGTAAGCCTTTATTAAAGAAAAAAAACCATATAATTAAAACAGAACAAACAATATTAACAAAGAAGGGAAGGAATAAGACAGAAAAATGTGTGTGTGTGTGTGTGTGTGTGTGTGTGTGTGTGTGTGTATACCTGTTATGTGCAGATGCCTGATCTTGCCTAATACTGGAGATAATGCACCAAAGAGAGTCTTGCTTTCATTTTTGTGGCTGTAATTCTTTCTATAGAATGGATGGAATTCACACCTTATGAAGTGGGAATACTAAAATATGGAGCTTTTGTTCGGACTGAAGATTTTGGTAGTGAATTCTTTATGGGGCATCTAATGAAAAGGCTACCAGAGACTCGGATCTCTTATTTGCAAGGTAATAAATGACAGATTTATACTTTATAGAAAATTAACATTTTTAATTTAAAAAAATAAAAGATAGCTGAAAATTGGAATGTACTTTAATTCCATCCAAATGGAATTATAGTATACTCTATTCAATAATAATCATTATACAACTGTTCAACTGAGTGTTAACATAAAGCAGATGCTAACATGAATTTTTCACATTCATATTAAGAAGAACATCTTAATGAATGGTTCAAAGTCATAAAATTGAGTGTGAGCTTTTCGGTTTTACAAAACTCTTCCTCAACCAAGATAAAACACTACCATCAACAACCACAATGATTGCAGTGGTAGCTGGAGGAAATATGTAGTGATAGATTAAGGGAATATTAGTAAACCACACACAGAATTAAAAAGAAAAAATAATTTGATTCTACTTTGATAGTTTTCTACTGCCTCCAAGAGTTGCTTAATGATTACTGAGATGGGAAAGGAGACAAAGATACATTTATGTACATTCTTCTGGGCAGGCACGTGGAGCAGCATATTTTCCTTTAATCTACTGTATTTCTGGAATATAAGTCACAGTTCCGAGGATTTTTGGCACAAATGGACTCAAGATCAAATTGTCAATATTGGTAGGTTGCTCTCATACCACTCTTATCTTTTGTTACTAATGGGCTTTTTTTGGTGGGGGGCGGGGTCTAATATTTGGTTTATTCAGGGAAGGTTAAAACAAAAAATGCCAATATGTTTTTTTAAACACAAAAGAATAAAAAACCAAAATAAACAACACATTAAAAAGGTGTCTTTTAAAAAAGACTAACCAACACCTGCATAATAATCTTCCTAGTTGAATGCTGTTTAATGTAATACATCACTGTTAATTTCCCACCACTTGCAAAACAGGCCAAAAACATTTGAAACAACTAAATCTGTTTCAGATTGTTAACCTGTCATCTATATATTATATTAATAACAATGAATATAGCAATAAGAATAACAAAAGTTAACAAGAAAAATAATAATAAATATATACAAGTATAAAAATAATACAAATTATTAATAATAAAAGAAAGGCAAAATTGAAATTCCAAAGTCTTTGGTTAACAAACTGTTTTTGCAATCAACTCATAGAAAATTTACTAGGGCTTCAATCCCAAATTAACCCTAATTGGTCCCTGAACCAAGAAATAACCACGTTTGTTTCTTAATACCATATCTTATCAATTATTGATTGATTGAATACATTAAGCATGTTACTAATATTTTTAAACTATATGTATACAAGACAGGTAAAAAAACTCAGAAACCATAAAATATTGCATTTCTAAAGGATTTTTTTTAGTTCCTATGACATATAATTTACTGCATATTTAGATAAATGAAACAGTCCATAGTTGAACAAGGCTTCTTTCAAAATTGGCACTACCATCACATTGGATTTATTTTCTTTTTGATGATTAAATATTTACACAGTAGTCCTCAACGTATAACCACAATGGAGCCCAAAATTTCTGTTGCTAAGAAAGACGGTAATTGAGTTTGCCCCCATTTTCTTGCCGCAGTTGTTAAGTGAACCACTGCAATTGTTAAGTTAGTAACATGGTTGTTAAGTGAATCTGGCTTCCCCACTGACTTTGCTTGTCAGAAGATCACAAAAGGTGATCACAGGACATTGCAACCGTCATAAATACATGCCAGTTGCCAAGCATCCAAATTCTGATCATCCCACGGGGAGGCTGCAAGTTTTGTAATCATGAAAGGGATCAGGTCACTTTTTTCTCTGTCACTGTAACTTTGTATAGTCAGTAAATGAATGTTTGTAGGTTGAGGACTATCTTTACTTTTGCAAAGGATTAAAAATCTAAGCCAAATGTAGAAAAATAACATGTTTCTTTCATCATAATTTCTTTTCTATAGATGAAGAGCCTCATTTAACTATTGATCCCCATCTCTACACCCCACCTGGACCACTATCCTGTGCTTTTAGAGATGTCCTAACAGATCGCTTATCAGTTGCCCAATACCACAATTTCATCAAAGGTCTCCAGCTAGACAATAGTTACCTTGAGAATGAAAACTTCTGTAGATGGAAAGGTAATTTCATTGGTTTCTTAAATGAGTATTTAAATACAAGAATAGATTCAGTAAATTAGCTGAACTTCCATGGTGTCTAAAAATTAAGCAGAGCTACATCTAGTTAGTACTTTAAATTAGAAACTCTTATAAAAACAAGTGGCTAATCAGGAAAATGAAAATAAATATTCAGAAATAGCAATAGCATTTAAACTTATATACCGCTTTACAGTGCTTTACAGCCTGTTTAAGCAGTTTACAGAGTCAGCCTATTGCCCCCAACAATCTGTGTTCCTCATTTTACCCACCTCAGAAGGATGGAAGGCTGAGTCAACCTTGAGCCTGGTGAGATTTGAACTGCCAAATTGCAGACAGCTGGCAGTCAGCAGAAGTAGCCTGCAGTACTGCACTCTAATCTGTCAAGCCTGAATTTGGTTAGGTAGGGGAATCATATGAATTCAGTTTGACACACTTGAGAGCTGGAAGGGGGAGAGCTGAGGTGGATGGAGCTCCAGCCAAAACAACATAGCTGGACAATGAGTCAGCCACGTTCCAACAACTGCTCGGTCAGAGGAAGGAGGAGAGAAGTTGCCAGGAAACCATTTCACCTCCTGGTTGGATAATGTGACATATTGTTTTGGAAAATTGAGAAAATTATAGTTATAGTGACATGGAAACCTGGGAAACTTTCAGTACTGGCTGTCCACCAGTTAGTGCCAAGAGGGTGTATCCAAATAAACTTATTCTTTGAGGAATTGAAACGCCTTGGATTTCGTTTTATAACGGTTGCATTACTTGGAACCTGACATAACCACTGCACCGCCGTGGTTTTCTTCCAGAAAGAAGGCAATAGCAGAGCACTTCTGCATTGTTGACAAGAAATCACAGTTTGTGTATTGGTGAAGCTTTCATGGTTTAAGCCACACTAGTTGCAGGTAGGCCTTGACTTACAACAGTTCATTTAGTGATTGTTCAAAGTCACTATGGCACTGAAAAACGTGACTTATGACCATATTTTTCACATTTACGACCATTGCAGCATCCCCGTCATCAAAATTCAGTTATTTGGCAACTGACTTGTGTTTATGATGGTTGCAGGTCCCTGGATCATGTTATTACCTATTGTAAACTTTTGACTAGCAAAGTCAATGGGGAAGCCAGATTCACTTAGCAAACATGTTACTAATTTAGCAACTATAGTGATTCACTTAACAACTGTGACAAGAAAGGTTGTAAAATGGGGCAAAACTCACACATTAGAAGAATTTGGGCTTCCTCTTATTTTTTTAGACACTGTACTGGACTCTGCTTCACCCAATCAGTTAACCCAAACAGAAGAATATTTGTTTCTGGAAGACACTGGATTCTTCATCAACACTAGCTCTGCTCCTCTGCTGAGACCAGAAAGGAAGGTGGATGTTATCCTACATTTAAATTACAGTGCAGGATCACAGTCATGGGTGAGAATTTCTTGTTTTTCATCCTATTCTTCAATATGGATTCTTTGTTTTAATTTACTTATTTTTTTTCTTTTCAATATAATGTTTATTGAAGATTTTTTAATAAACAGAAAACTATACAAATACTAGAAAAGAAACAGAAAATAAGGAAGAATGGTGAATGTAAGAAATAAAATAGAAATAGAAAAGAAGAAGAAAAAGAAAAGAAAAAAGAAAAGATTATAAAGAAGCAATTTCTGATCCCTTGGACAGTGGCTATGCATTTGTATTTCACTTTCTGTTTAAAGTTACATCATACTTTCCTTCTTTTTATAAGCTACCCTTTCTAATCTTCAAACCCATAAATCACAAATTAATTGTATATAAAATAATCTTCCATGCTCCTTTTCTAATTGACTGACCATTAATCCCAGCAAGAAAAAAATTTGATTTCAGTTAAATATTGATTGTTAAAATTTTTTGTACCATTGTATGAATATGAACATTTCTGGCCTTTTTTGCAAGTCCACAAAAGATGACAAAAAAAAAATCCCTCTATGTTGTCCATATTTTCAACATAAATTTAAAGAATCTTTATGTATTCTAGACAATTTTTATTGAGTCATATATCAATGGTAAATTTCAGAAGTATTCTCATTTAGAATACAACTTTTAAGACTATACAGCAGGTTGCAAAATTCAATTTCAAATCAGGCAATCCAAATCTAAGATGCAATTCCTTTGCATCTTAACATATTTTATATTTAACGCTGGGTTTTTCCCCTTGACATACAAGCTTAGATATATCTTTCTGCCATTGCTTAAATGATACATCAGTTATTATAAATGGTATTGTTTGAAACAAAAACATTATTCTTGGCAATAGAAACTCTCCCCAAGAATGACAGTTGTAATTTCTCCAAATTTAACATGTACTTCTGGATTTCATTTCATGACTGAACATAAATTATTCTGCTACAACATACGATTCATGTTAATCATAGTAAAAGGGTAGGGTAAAGGAGTCTCTGTGGATTTTATTCTGCTAGTGTTGCTGACTGTAGGGGGCAGTGCTCTTTGTTTCAAGGCCATTCAGCCAGCACTGTCTGAAGACATTTCCGTGTTCATGTGGCCAACATGAAATTATAGAGCACCATTACCTTCCCATCAAACTCACATTCACGTGGTCTCAAACTGCTAGATTGGCAGGAGCTGGGCAAGGACAATGAGTCATCCTCTCACAGGATGCTCGGGTTTCAAACTTGGACTGCCGGCTTTCCAGCCAACAAGCCCAGTGTCTTCACTGCTGAGCCACC